TTAGAAAAGGTAATATAGAAATCCATAACGGATAGGTTTGTGGCTTACTCAGTACCAGTTACATCGCATGTATCAGCTGTGTGTCAAGTGAGTGGTATAAAAATAGATGTGTTCAGCTGAATGTAGAAAATGAGGCAAGTGCAAGGGCGTACACATGTTTTTGGAGAAAAAATTGATACATATTAAAAAATATTTACATAGGCTTCCCGAAAAGTGCTGGGAGCTACTTTGAGCTGTTTCTTAAAATTTGCCTAAAATGCTAATAATAGCTCAAAATTTCCACTTCGCCTAAACTCTGTCAAGAATAAAAATAATGTTATGCCGACCAGAGTTAGTTCCCAACACTTTTCAAAATACACATGATATAAGCATTGATATTCGATATTTGAGCTCAAACAGTTTCGTCTATGCCCTTGCACTTTTGGGGTTAGTTAGGACTACGCTTATCGTGTTAGCGATATATCTTACATTCTCCGTCTTTGTGCAGCTCCATATAACACCTAGATAAGTTAATAATCTACATTATTGTTTTAAAAAATTATTTCCTTTTAATTTTGTTGATTAGATTTAAACATTTGCGACGGTTTTATACTTATTTAAGCATTTTTGTAATTATTAAACCAATGGATCCACTCCCCTGGATCACTTGTACTGCGTCAAGTCAAAGCTAGTGACGTCATTTATGACAAAAGATTTGCCTTTAATACTCGGCAGTATTGCTATCAAATGTGATTTTACATGCGTTTATTAATAATTGATAAATAAATGAATGCAAGTTGTTATTTTCGCATCGTGTGGTTAAATAGATTTGTGTCGCTTGTTAAATTTTTAATGACGTCACAATGAAACTTCCCATACGGTGCATCACAAACGTGAAATCAGGCCTTCCTTAACGTAGCTGAGAAAAATTGTTTTCATATTGCCCCTCAATCGCTTAATGCGAGGTTTCAAAATCCATCTGATACTTTTAATCCATTCTGACAAAGGGTCAAGGCTTTTTTTTCCATATTTGGCCAATTGTCTGGCGTAAGCTTCCACAGAATTCGTAAAATTTATGAAATTATGACGCCAGTTGAAAGACGGGGTTCCCTACGCAGGTGAGTTAAGGCTAGGTATATGCATTTCTATGCAAATAATCTAATTAAAATGCCTAATGACCATATCTATTATACAGAGAAAGTTAAAACTTACTGTCTAATACATACTTGGTACCCACGACAAGAGATAGCCAGTTCACATTATGACGTCATATTATGACGTCATAGTTCTTTACTACACAAGCTTATAAGGGATATCAACAAAAATGCTTCGGCGCAAGGGCATGCTATATTTTATTCAACTGAAACAAGGTATATTTAGAAGCAAAGTTTGCCGGTATTGCTGCACAAATATCAACAGCCCAGTCGACTTGCGATCAAATGAGAAAATGCCTAGGATTTGTGCAGCAGTTTTGTTAATCTATTGAATATTCTTCTTAGCATTATACAATTTTTATGTAAAAATAAATAGGGTAATCCCTTGCGCCGAAGCTGTTTTGTTGATCTGTTGTATACCCGCCAGTAAGTAAGATCAATGACGTCATAATGTGTACTGGCTATAACATATCGTGTGTACAAAGTATGCGTAAGAAAATAAATCAACACTTTCTCTGAATAATAAATATACCTCTTATGCATTTTTATTAGCTCATTTGCATAGAAACGCTATATTTTATTCAACTGAAACAAGGTATATTTAGAAGCAAAATATTTCAAAGTTTGCCGGTTTTGCTGCACAAATATCAACAGCCCAGTTGTATAATTTCTATTTGTAAAGTTTGAAGTTGAATTAGGGTAAAAATGTACTGTCCGGTATAACTTTTCTCGACTTGCGATCAAATGAGAAAAAGGCTAGGATTTGTGCAGCAATTTTGTTAATCTATTGAATATTCGTCTTAGCATTATACAATTTTTATGTAAAAATAAATAGGGTAATCCCTTGCGCCGAAGCTGTTTTGTTGATTTGTTGTATACCCTCCAGTAAGTAAGATCAATGACGACATAATGTGTACTGGCTATAACATATCGTGGGTACAAAGTATGCATAAGAAAATAAATCAACACTTTCTCTGAATAATAAATATACCTCTTATGCATTTTTATTAGCTCATTTGCATAGAAACGCCTATACCTAGTCTTAACTCACATGCGTAAATTTTCTTTTATAAAATTTGCTTAAAGGTCCTGTATGTATACCAGGTATTTGTAATAAATACAAGGTGTGGACTTCAATTTGAAATGTGGTGGAAAACAAGACTGGACCTTTTGTGATTAAAAATATTGCTTATATTAACTGCGTCAATTCTTTTTTGGTATATTGAAGTTTAAGGAACAAATTGTTTGAGCAGAATTCTCTTCCGTGAAACGTGGCGGTTTAAAGAGTCTATGATTTGCAATATTCATAATCACAGATTCTAGCCTGTATTCTGGTGTCAAAGAATCCAAATATGGACTTTCCTTGACTTATACAAATAGACGATTTAAAACTTTCAAAGGCACAGAGTAAAGTAGTAGTGAATCAAAGGAGACATCGTGTGTAATAGGTTTATTTTAAGACCGATGCCCAAGACTACGCTTACGTCTCTGAGTATTGTAAAAAGTCCCATAAATTCACATTGCTACACTAAGGACTTGAAAGATTCCCAACACTATCGACATTGTCATTGCTACCATATGGAAAGGTCGTGCTTAGTTTTCTAATCCAGTATTCTTCTCGTTGTCGACGGAAAGGTGTACTCAACGATGGACTGTGAGTATGATGGTGAATCTTTTTTTTAGAATTCTAACTTTAATTGACAAAATAGAATGATCAGGTAAATTGAAATGCTTGTACAGAAGCTGCTGGCCCCCTTTTAAGTTGCTTCTGGCCCCCATATCCAAGCATAAGAGAATCTTGATTCTGTTTAATTTTAATTATCAATGATATATATGGCGTGTTTTAGCTAAAAAAACACGAAATTGAGTGCAGATATTTTTAAAGTATATTTAAATTACTCGGATAATCTCACAATTCTAAATTTAAATTCATTTGACGTTAAACTTTGCTGTAGTTATGTTATCCACCATGCGCATGACTGAGGAAAAACCAGCAATAAAACGGTGATGGAAGGAGAAGTACACATAATTATTAATACATTATATTCTCTTTAATTTTCTCTTTCTTCCCTCAATTTCTACCTTCTCTCTCTGAATCTGTAAAACTGCTGGTTTCCGCTGGTCTACCTGTCTCTTCCTTTGTCACAATTGTTTTTTGATTGCATAAATATAGTGTCACGCGATCGAATTAAGAACGAGTAAATTCAAATCCCCATTATTTTTGTAGAGTCTATAAAGAAATCGGTAATTGTTGAAAATTTGGAAATCTTGGTAATGTGATTGACTTAGAGAAAATTTCTATCTTTATATAAGTTTTAGAAAATAAATTAAGATGTCTTTTAATTTTGGTTTATATAAAAAATATCCAAGATTTTCTCAAATATGAAAGAGTTTATTTAAAAAATATAGATTCATTTGACTATTTACTGCAAAAATCCTAAATAAGTAGCATCATATTTTCCTTGTTTTTCTATTTAATAAAAAAAAAAGCAACAAAAGAACCATGGGCCACAACGCTCAACTTTGGTCCTTCTTTTTTACATCAGCAGGTTCTTTTTTCCCATATATTCTTATGTAAAACTTAGATCACATATCGTGGCCCAACCCTACCCTAAGGGGGTCATGATTTGAACAAACTTGAACACTACCTGAGGATGCTTCCATATAAATCCGAATAATTATGGCTTAACTGTTCTTTTGAAGAAGATTTTCAAAGATTTTTCCTTTAAATTCTTAAAGAAAAAAATGATTGCCCATTGTGGCCCCACCCTACCCCTGTGGGTCATGATTTGAAATCCCGCAGTCTACACTACCCATCCTATGTAAAACTTTTTTCGCCCATTGTGGCCCATCTTACCCCCAGGGGTCATAACTAAAACAAACTAGAATAAACACTACCTGATAATGCTTCCATATCAATCTGATTAGTCAGGGTTTTGCTGTTACCGGGAAAAAGATTGTTAAAGATATGTCGTACGTATTCATAAGTCAAATTTTGATTGCTCAGTGTGGTCCCTCCCTACCACCTGGGGTCATGATGTAAACAAACTAGAATACACACTACTTCCATATAAATGATTGATTCTGCCTTTACTGTTTTGAGAAGTTTTTTAAAGATTTGTTTCCTTTTTATTTCCACTTAAAGAGCTTTGTTTGTTCGTAGTGCCCCCCCCCCCCCCCTTATCCCGGAGATCATGATTTGAACATACTTAAATCTCCACTATATCAGGAAGCTTTCACTATTAAAGTTTCATCTTTTCTGGCCTAGTTGTTCTTGAAAATAAGATTTTTAAATAACCGAACCATACTTTAACTATTTCTTAATCTCTTCTTGGAAGAGGGTGGCCGTTCATTTGAACAAACCTGAATCCCCATCACCCAGGAATACTCTGTGTAAAGTTTGGTTGAAATTTACTGAGTGGTTCTAAAGAAGAGTATAAATTTTAGAAGGTTTACTATGATAACAACGGACAGTTGTTGTTTTTTTTTTTGTTTTTTTTTTGTTTTTGTTTTTGGTTCGGCTCAATTGATCAGCAAGGAGATGAGAAGTGTCTCTTACCAGTGTAATCTGTTTAAAAAAGCTTGCATATTTGTTCTTTTGAAGCAGAGACAAATTTAAAAAAATGACATATATAAATAAGAAATATATGTTTTTTCCCCTTGAAAAGTGTTTCATACCCTCGACCTGATTTCCGAATATATGTAAATATAACTAATTATATATTCTCTGTCCCTTATTTGCTGGAAAAAAAAGATCCAGGAATAATTGGAAAAAAATTAAACTGTTCATTGTAATGACGGAACCCTGGAAGCAGAAAATGGGATCAGGTGCATATAACGAGACACTCTCTTTAATATATGATGTACTTAATGACGCTTGATGAGCATCATCGTCCCTCTCACTTGTGTTCCGTACCTAATTACAGGACTCCACACCTGTTCCCAGTCTGGTGAGGACCAGGGACCATTGAGGAAAGCTTGGTGACAGGCGTTAAACCACCAGCCTCCTCCAAGAAGTAGAGCACAGTTATCGCTCGTACCGCTATTATCGTTACCCAATCCACCGTAAAAAACGTCGTTATCCTTGTCTAAGGTACTGAAGTACATCCCAGACAAAATACCATAAAAATCTGTGTCCACCATACTGTCACCTTAAATAAAAATAAAATGAAAGTAAAACAAGGTATATATCATTACAATACACATACTGTCACCTTGAATAAAGATAAAGTGAAAGTAAAACAAGGCAGTGTATACATCATTACAATACACATACTTTCATCTTAAATAGAGATAAAAGGAAAGTAAAACTATGCAACGTATACATCATTACAATACACATACACGTATTTAGCCCTTTATATTTTAACATTTAACCCATTTAGCTTTTAATAGTCATATACCTAAGGTTCCTTTGATGCTTCCCATCAGGAAAAGTTTGTATTTTTCTGCTTCATCGGAAACAGAGAATCCATCGTACAACTGATACATTTTGGTACCATTTACCAGTGTGATGGAAACATAGAGGTATGAGTTCTTTCCCTTTGTTAACTGATGGATTATGTCATTTCCTGTATGAAAGATATCCTTAAAATCAATTGATAGGTTACTGCAATAAAATAGCATTCTCGAGCTATGACATCTATAAACATTACTTTCAATCTTTTTTATGTGTAGATATTTCAATAAGGAAAATCGAGTATGGTCATGGTACTCCGAGAGATTGTTTTGCTATATTTCTATCACTCTTTCATTTCTTCCCTTTAAATTTATTCATGAAATTAAAAAAAAAGCAGCATAGGTAAGGCTACAAAAAGGAGGCGAGGCCAAATGTATACGGGAAATATTAACGACGATATCACACAAATCTAACATTTTTTTTAAAATACCACAAAATGAAATGCTTTGCGAATTTAAATTGGACAAGAGATTTAAACTACATTAAAACTTATTACAACATGCTGTTTGTCGTTAGTTAAATCCCACATAGAAAGGTTAAAACAAGTCACTATTCGTGATGCATTGTTGATATGACGTCATTTCGTAACTTGACGCAGTTTGTATGCGTCGAGAGGCGGATCAAGTAGTATTTTCACAACGAAAAATGCATTTTATAATAAAATAAAATATTCTTTTGATTTTATTAATATTTTTTCCGTACATTTCCTAGTTAACTGATACTGTCGTATATGTGTATGCATGTACACTGGAGAGTAATGTAATGGTCTTAATAAATCTTCCTTGTGCAAGGGCATACACCACAAGATGAAACACTTCCTTTAAGTTTGGCTTAATGGTGGCTTATAGGTCCTTAATGATGGTTTAATGGTTGTCTTTAAGTCACCATTAAGCACCTTTAAGCTACATTTAAGTAATAAATACACCACCATTAAGTTACCATTAAGCCATCTCAAAGTCCTTAATGGATGCTTAAAGGTAGCTTAATGGTGGCTGAATGGTGGCTTATAGGTGCTTAATGGTAGCTTCTAGACAATCATTAAGTCACCATTAATCCACCATTAAGCCAGACTTATAGGTGCTTAATGTCCAAACTCCATTAAGCTACCATAAAACACCTTTAAGCCACCATTAAGTCACCATTACGCAGTCGATAAAACTGCTTTTACGGGTTAAATATTATTTTTATAATGATTTCTTCACAAAAATTATAAATATCGAGTTTATACATTTGTTAATTCAGCGAAAATAATGTAAAAGAAAGAAAATTTAAAAAAAAGAAAAATAATGAAAAAAAGCATTCCCAACAGGATTCGATCCCACGACCTTAAGATTGGAGGGCGAACGCTTTAACCACTGAGCTATCAAGGCTGTTGAAATTCAAATGAAATATAAAACCTTTATTTTTAACAAAACTTGTTTGGAATGGTTACAGGTACCTGTATATGTATTTTTTTCTGATGTTTATATTTATTAATCAATAATACGAATAATTATATTTATATATATGTATATATTTTAAAAAAAGAAGAAATTTTGATAAAGTTTTATATTACGTTAATATTTCTTAACCGTGGACCGGAGTTCGGTGTGATGGTGTGAAACAACTTTTTGATTTTAAGTAACCGAATTCCTCGTTCTGTTATTCGCAGATTTATAAGCATGAGAAGATTGAAATTCAACAGATATAACAAAAATTCTTATTAAAAAGGAATATATCATCGAAAGAGAACGATTGGGAAAAAAAAACAGATTATAGTTCTTATAAATATGCTGCGGATATTTACGATTTTTGACAATCTTTGCGTAACAATTAAGTTATAAAATATTTTTGTAACATATCATCTTCAGTTTTAATTCTTTTTATATCATTATGGGTATCAAAATAATTGTCTTTTTGTGTACAATTATAATTTCTAATTTGTTATATGCTTGCGTAAATTTTAAGTTTTGTAAAAAAAAAAAAAAAAAAAAAAAATAGATCATCAAAATCTGTCACTGTACATTCCCGTGTATAGTTTCCTGTTAATTGACCGGGGACTTGTGGGGACACCTAATTAAGGTCTATTGTCTAACTAGTCGATATACTGAACACTGATTATTTTACCCCGCTTCTCAATGTGTATGAATCTGGTCGGATACCCTGTTTAATCTGATCGGCTGTTCTTCTGAAAATTGATTTTGAAATAACAAACATTGAAGACCGACTATATTTTGATTAGTTCTTACTTCTGCATTATTTTAAATAAATTCTTACTTCTGCATTATTTTAAATAAATTCTTACTTCTGCAGTATTTTAAAAGAAAGGAAAAAATAATGGCACTTAACCACGAATTAATTCAAATTATTCATGAATTAATTCAAAGATTGGCAATATAATCTATACCTATATATTTTTTTTATATCTTAAACATTTCTCTACCCAAAGAACAATTAAGAGACTTAGAGATATTCCAGAAGAAAATGACTAATCACATTTCCTATGAATTCGGCAGTGGAACGTGGCTCTCCAAACACGAAAGAAAAATATGTGATTTTTTTTTAAATTAATATATATTATGTATTTATGGATAAAAATAATTTCAAAACAAGTATTCAAACAAACTGATTTTAGGGAGCGAAAATTTTAAGGCATTTGGTGAAGCTGTTCTCAGTTCCCGAGTTTATACGCATTGACAAAAATGTTAGAAATAACGAGAAAAAATTATGAATTGAATAAGTATTTGCGTAAATGATACTGAAACAACTTCAAACTTAACAAGTTAGTTTAAAGAGGATGCGTTAAGGTGGTTTAATTAAGTTTGGACATTAAGTCACCATTAAGCTGCAGCTTAAAGGTGGCTTAATGGTAGCTTAATGAAGTTTGGACATAAAGCACCTAGAAACTGCAGCTTAATGGTGGCTTAAAGGAATTAACTTCCATAAGCCACCATTAAGCTACCATTAAGCGATTGCTTAAAGATGGTCTTTCGTCCTGTGCACACAATGGATCATACTTATATTTTTACACACAGACCCTAGAAATATTATGCTATTCGAAAAGTCCTGCAATCCTGCTGAAATCTTGAAATTGAATGAATTATTTGTATATTTAATTTAGTTGACCGACTAAAAGTTCAGCATGCAGCCAAACAAATGTGATTTTAACAATGACATAGTATATTCTATATAGGATTGCAGCACTTTTCAAAAACTAAGATTGGTATTGAAAATATTTATGAGCTAAATTTAGAATGTTAACTTGGTTTTGCCCTTGTACTTCAGAAATTGACGAGTGACCTCAGATCTGCAGATGCTAATATCACGTGACTGCCACATGTGAAAGTCTAAATGAAAACTCTTATCGTCTTAAATGAAGTTTGGTGATAACAAACAGTAATCAAACCCAATAGTCCACTGAAACAATACAAATCGGTAGAAAAGCAAACACGGACCTCTAAAAAAAACATCAGAGTAGGGATCAGGTGCCATGGTGGAGTAAGTATCCCCTGTCGACCCGTCACTCCCGCCGTGTGCTCATTGTCATGATCGGACAAAAGGAAACAAATCCGTAGACAATTCAGTGTTTCAATGATGGCCTAACAATTAGTATGAAAACCGCCAGTAAGCATTCAACTTAATGATATATTGTATTTGCGGACAAGGTCATAGTATCGACCACAGAACTTGCGAAGCAATGATTTTAAACGAGACTGTTGATATTCTTGTTTCATCAATTTTTTTTTATCAGTAGCTTGCCTCATTTTAGAAATCGTTTGTACGAGGAGCATGCTCTTGCGTATCGAATCAACTGGGAGACATAAAACCCATATGCAGGTGAGATAGGTATAATTCTACATAAGTGAAGTTGACGATAGAAAAGTTGAAGTCATCATGTTTATTAAAGATTTGTTGTTAGGTTATCATTAAAGTCTTTTTTCTAGTGAAATATCCAAATATGAAACAGTTGCGTCAGACTCTGTGGTATCTTTTATTTCAATTTCACTGGGATATAACTTGTCGTACATGAAAATGGAAGTAACTATTGATAATTAATTCTGTAAACCAAAACTGTATTGGGTTCATTCCAAAAAAAAAAAAAAAAATGACGACCAAACTGAATTTTTTTTGAAAAATTCAACTACTTATAACATTTTTTTCACTTATATCATCATATTGCACATGCATTCTAGTTACAAATCCTGAAGTGGCAATAGAATAGACAATTGGATTAAAAATTTTCAGAATTTTTATTAGTAAAATTTCTTTTGAAAAAAGAAAATATCATTACACCTTAAAAGACTATCTAAAATACATAAGCACAAGAAATTATAGTTTTCTATGCTTCAAAATGGTAAAAGGGGTATAAATGATTAAATGTAGACCTTGATCGAGTATCTTCTCTTGTATTTGTGACAAAAAAATGGCTTTTTGATTGTTATTTTACATTATTTTTTCAATTCTAGTTTGAAAAGTTTTGATATGAAAAAAATATGAAGCAATAAAATTCCCCAAATTCACTTTTTTGTCCGTTCATGTCAATTCTTTATATCTAAGCCAAAAAAGAATTTTTATACACGAGTTCTCTTACAAAAAATACGAGATTTTGAAGTGACCCTATGTTACATTATTGTGTTGCACTCCAGACATCTGATGTGTATTTTATTTCACATTGTTTTAAAAATTATAATACACAATAACCCATTCTTACTTTGTAAATTAATTTGTCGTTTTGATATTTTTCATCGTATACAACAGGTTTTTCATATTTTGAAGACCTTAAAATATGATTATTTGCAAAGTGTAATATACATAGATTGTATTTAAAAATATATGTGATATTATGAAAACTATTCCCTGAATTGACTGTACAATTTCTCTACGTTGTTGATAGACATAGTGTTGTGAACATCAAATAGTATCAAGCATTTTTTTTCAACTTATTTTTAGTAAAGATAGTTAAAAAGCATTGGTAATTATAAAACAGTTTTGTTGCACGTAAAATTTAAAATTAAAATCATAGAACACAAAAATTCATAATGTGTTGGCAACATCAAGTGGTAATGAAATTGTGCAATACTTATAGTCCAATACTTCATAATTAAAACAGATGAAAGTATTTGAAATTCGCATTTTATCTGGAATTATTCCCTTCTTATACCAAAAACTAGCTTAAATGTATATTTAGAAGATAAAATATATTTTATAGCATATTTTCCTTTAGAGGACAAACACACTAACCCACCAGAGTAGCCCGCGTGGCGCAGTGGTTAGAGCGTCTGCTCTAGGGTCGCGGAGTAAGGAGTTGATCCTTACGTCGCGGGTTCGAATCCCACTGTGAGACGTGGAGACCGGTCCTTCGGATGAGACCGTATAAACCGAGGTCCCATGTCGCAGTAGGTGCTGGCACGATAAAGACCCCTCACTGCTCAATGGCCGTAAGTGCCGAGTATAGGACAAAATTTGCAGCTCTCCACCGGCAAGTGGTGGCGTCTCCACATGAGTGAAAAATTCTCGAGAGGGACGTTAAACAAACAAACAAACAAACAAACACTTACCCACTAGAAAAATTCTACTCATCATTTTTTCTTTATTTTTATTCTTATTGGATGATTTATAATTCTAACATATATTTTTCATTCCTGACCAAAAGCATTGGGGCCTTTAAAGTAGAATAGTGAAGTGAAAATTACATAAGAACTTGTTCTGTTGTTTCAATGAAGTTGAAGAGGAATTACTTGAATTTAATGACAATATTTTAGTGTGTTTATTTTCAACATTCATTAAAAAATCACGAAAAAGATAAAAACACCTCTGAATTGAAAAAAATTAAAAAGGAAGGATTTTAATAACAAAACTGCCAATAATTTAGTATTAAATTATACAATAAGATAATTATATATTAATGAATACTTCTAAGCATGAATAGAAGTGTTTTCGTCACACAACTTGAATCTTTAAAACATTGTGTTGCACTCTTGACCATAGAAATATAGATCTGAAGCACAGACAGATCCTGTAATTGATAAATCTATTTGGTAAAAATGTTCTTTGTGTCTTTATTTTCCAAAATAAAAATCAGAAAATCATATAATGATAATAGTTTTTTCATGCTTGGGAGCAAAACATCAAATGTTGCACTCCAGACATTACTGGGTATGCACATATACTTGACTCTCATTAATGCTGCTTGTGATTTATCCACATTTATAAGTTTTAAAATGTATATCAGTTATTGTTTTACACTTCGAAAATTCTTTTTTGTCTTAATTGTCCTGACATGGTATAACATTTTTTTAAACATCAACCATGACCACAACTTCATTAAACAAAAGTTACTACAGTCCACATTTAAAGCTCAATAATTTGAATATTATCAGGAAAGTCTTTATTTTCAACATGAAGCATTATTATTTATTTTACAGTTCTCCAACAAATATTGAAATTTCAAAATGTCACAAAAAGATGTTGCACTCCTGACAATTTTAGCATCATTTTTGGGCTTAAATTTTTTGTTAATTGAGATATCAACAGGATATTTGGCAGGTATTTAGACACTATCTCAACACATGCTGAGACATAGAAATCTATTTTCGTTACCTGTATTTTTAGTGTGGATTGATAAATATGCGTTAGGTCATTTTTTTTTTGAATTCACCCATTGATGATTAATACTGTATTCGCGTGCGAGAAATATCCAAGAGTTTCGCGACCTACTTTAACGCGAACCATTCATTTTGCTTTATTTTGCTTTGTATTTGTAGAGAATGTTTCCTAAGTCGCGAAACTTCCTCGTCGCGGATTGACTTTAAACGGACTAATCGCGAATAAACGATGACGCGAAGAACAGTTGGTTTACAGTAATACCTATGTACACATATGACAGTCGAATATGCGGTGTATGTAAATGTCGAGTAATGTCGAGTAAATGTAAATGTCGAAAGCCACAGCAACTGGATATCCTGATTAAAAATATATTTTTCCCACACACAAAAAAATCACCGATTTATTCATTGGGCACCTTAACTGTACTGCGAGATAACAACTCCAACATACGGATAATATTTTAATTCCATTAGATATCGAGAAACATGTAATACAGTTTAAAAATCAGAATCTTGGATCGCTTCAGAACTTATGTTACTACAAACATCATTTGAATTTTAATCAAATTTGTTCTTACCGATCCAGACATCCTGTTCCGGTGAACCAAAACCATTCTTATATTCTGCCCAATTCCTGTTAAAGCTGACAGATCCGTCAATTCGTTTTTGAATGGCCTTAAAGAAAAATTAAAAAAAAATAAATAAAATCTTCAATATGACGATTACTTGTAGAGTGCCAATAAAATAATTAGTTTGAGGAGATACTCACAAAACTTTATCCAATACTTTCTGTAGAAATTCCTATGACTACGTACATGTACTTTTCTACAGTAATATCATCATTTCTGAGTAATAATTTCAAGAGTATAAAAACTTTCACTATGTTTGATTATGAGTAATCTCCAAAAAGTTTCCTCACCCTTTTTTAATTCTTGATTAAATTCCTAATATTTCATTTTATCAGAAGTTAATCACAGCAAGTAAAGAGAGAAGATAATTAATTTAATACTCATAACAACGTTCTCCATGAACGTGTCATACATCAGCTTTATATTTAAATATCATACCGTCCATCCTCCGTCCATTGTGTCCATATCACAATCAACTCTGACAGGATGGGAGCTGGTACCAAAGGGATAAATGTCATACACCCCTGTCTTAGTGTAACTATTATCACGAAGGTCTTTACAGTCTGTAGGAAGAGCTGAAAAGAAAGGAAATAGAAGATAACGCACAGTAATCAAGCTCGAAAGTCCATTGAAACAATACAAATTGGGAGCAGAGCAAAGAAGGAATATAAAGTTTGTTTGTTGAAATTTATAGAGGGTCTTATTTGACAATCTTTTAATATAATTTGTGTGACTTTATATCTGTTTCATAGATGAGTCGAATTTCCGTATATATTTACAATACCCCATAACAGGTTTACCTTTTTGCTATGAAACAACCGTTGTTGAAGTTAACTAGAAGTTCTGTGACCACTGAGCTCACAGAATGATACCCAATACCCACCCACCCCTCCCATATGATTATAATGGCAAGTCCATGTTTTGCTTTGGGATACCCGAAATAAGTGTCCCATCAAAAAGTAAAATAGATGCAGAATAGAATTATATAATAAAGATTCTGTGAAAGTATCATTAAATTTTATTCAGCGGTATAGGACATCAACTTATCTTTCAGTAGCTTGCCTCCGTTTACAAAATTGGTTCTACTCAGAACATTCTCTTGAATATGGAATAAGCTGGGAGACATTAACACCATATGCAGATTGTAGCGGAATAAAGAAAGTGGACGATAGAAAATCTGATCATCTCGTTTGCCATACAAATGAGATGGCTCTTATCATCCATTTTTAAGTCACAATAGTTGTTATTTGCCGAAATATTTGCTGTTTTGTCGATTTCGATTTTGTTCATAAAGAATAGCCAAGTGATTGTTACTATATAAAAGCATTGAAGCAATACATGCCGCCCTTTAATACTCAGCCAAGGCTTTGCATTGACGCGTATTCGAATGTCATATGTGTACATCCGGATTTTTTTCATATTTTAACACCAAATAAATATCTCAATTTTAAATTAGTATGCATGTAAATGTTATTTGAAGAAAGCTTTAAGATGGCTATAAGACTGTTTAAAGGTTGTTTAAGGGTTCCTTAAATGTGGTCTACAGACGGCTTATTGACGTTTTGACATTAGGGATCAAAGGGCGTCAGGATAAACAACGTCGTCTTCAAGCAATTGCTTGAAAATTCGTAAAGCCCTATCAAAGATAAGTTTAACGGCGTTGACTCTGCTTAGTTATTTTCTTTGGCAGAAAACTCTTTAAATAATAAATATCAATGAAACTCTTCGACAGTTTTCAAGACCTGTCATAATCAATATTGTCTTTCCAATTATTTCTGTGAAAAGAAAAAGAATAAGAAGTCTCACTAGCGATACATACAATTATATGAAAAGTATTTCCAACCGGCCTCATCAGACATGTCAGACGAAAAAATTGTCTTGTGGGTACGGCATCTCATTAATTTTCCATTGTATCCAAAGAAACCACAATTCTTTTGACACATCATAGAACACTCGCACAACAAACGAACTTTGTATTCTCCTAAAAGTTCATTATCCGACCTTCTGTTATTAAATTCAAGCTTTGCTGTATATATTCTCGAAATAACCTTAGCTTGAGACACTGTAAAATAGGCAATAATTGAGCAGACAACCCCAAAACTGCTCATATTGTAAGTAAAGCTAACGTTCCTATAAGAATCTGTTAGTTGATCTTTTAGCTGCGAATTATAGACATCAGGTCCTTGTATATTACGGAGAGGTGATTTGATAGTTTGTTATGCATTCTGTATTTTACAATTGCTTATATATCGATTTGATGGACGATAAAAAAAGGTTGGTAGGACCTCTTTATGACCTCATTATGAATGATGATATATTCACAGAATGATTTGAAAATATATACTCTGGGGGGCGTTCTGAGTCAATCCTTGTTTTCATTGGATAAAAATGGATTTTTGCACTTGTTTTTTTTTTTACAGATGGAATATTTTAAGAATAGATTTTTGGTGTGGTGCCCATCTAAAATATAGATTTGGTTTTAGCTTTAGATAAGGTTGTAGGTCCACAAAGTGTTACGGTAAGAATTGTTATATACAATTATATATAACATATTTAATGCAAACAGAGAAGATTGCTAGTATGATTTTTGATTTTAAAAATGAGTAATTAATAAACTATGTTTTATTATCCGTTTTTTGTTGTAAATTCAATTCATAAATAATGAATTATTACTTAGAGTCTTACAGACCTAGATGATATTTTACCGGAGATAGATTTAAAGGCAATTTCCCTCCCCTTTTTTTCCTTTTATCACATCATAGGTATGTATTTCAAAAACTTACATGAAAAACAACTAAGATTTTAAAGTGCAGGTGGTATGTATCGAACGAGAAAAGCAAAATAAATGAATAGATTGTTTAATGCGTATATCGGGTTAGAGACTTGAGCACTTGCTTTAGCATTGAAATAAGAAAATATTAATACACTTCATTGACACAATAAGCTACAGACTAACAAAGCCTTTCGAACTGTTTGGTGTTCAGAATAGTGGATCTTCAGTATGGCGTATTTATGACATGTAAGACACAGGACCCGTCATGTATATGTGCATATACTTTGATACCCTACAAATAATTAGATACTTTGATATAACATACTTTGTTCCTAAAGTTACATGATATTCAACCCAAACAAGCCTTGTTATTCGGTGGTTTAGTTAATTAAACAAGAGACCCAAGATGGGAATAAACAAAGCAATAGGTCTAGAGCATTATTAGTTAACACATTTCATCCCCTCTCACATTGGCCTCTCTTAGTGTTTGAAGATTTCTTAATGTACAAAGATACGGTATTTTTGTCCCATTTTCATTTATCTACTATTTAAAATCCTACCTGACCATTAAAAACTATGAATGTACTTTTTATCAAATATTATAAAAACTTTTATAAAAACCTTTTAAGTTACATTATTTACAGTGATTAACTATCGTGAGTGAATAGCAAAGGAGAATAACTTCTTTCAGTAGAAATTAATAAATGGACCAAAGGTTACAGAATTTCAAAACACCCTTGCTTATTTCAACTTTATATACTCTGTTTGCCTCCTAGATGCCCAGGAGCAGAAGAGTAGATTTTTCAGAGAAATAATACATTTTCACTATAGATTCAATATAGCCCCAACCTAATACAAGAGCCCCTTATCCACGTGCCATGATATTCACAATTTTGGAAGAGGCAATCTTGTTCATCATAAACATTCACTCCATATGTCTGGTTTATAACAATGGGCAGAGAAAATTTTCAGTTTGAGGAATAAAGCACTTTAACCATATAATCAATAGAGCCCCCCCCCCCTTCCCGCAGAACCCCTCACCCTGGGGCCACAAATTTCACAATTTTAGAAGAGGCACCTTTGTTCATCATAACCATGCACCTAGTTTATCTCCTTTACATACAGGAGGAGAAAAGAAGATTTTTTGAACAATTGATGAATTTTTACAATATGATCAATAGAGCCCCGCCCTAACACAAGAACACCTGATCCAGGGGCTAAGATGTTCACAAATTTGAAAGAAGCACCCTTGCTCATTTTAACTATATACTTGGTTTATCTTCTACATACCTAGGAGCAGAAAAGAAGATTTTCGAAGAAATAATGTACTTTCACTATATAATCAAAAGACCCCCCTTCATCCGGAACCCCTCACCCTGAGGCTCAAATTTTATAGGCAGTTTCGGAAGAGGCACCCTTGATCAACATGGACATGTTTATCTCCCTTATACACAGGGGGAAGGGGGGGGGTGAAGAAGATTTTAAAAGAATTAATGTATTTTCGCTATATGTTAAATAGAGCCTAACCCTAACTCCAGAACAACTGACCCTGGGGCCATGAATTTCAAAATTTTGGTAATAGGCTCAATGTTCATTACAATCATGCCAACAGTTTGACTGCTTGATGTACAGGAGTAAAGAAGAAGATTTTTAAAGATTAAACTCATTTTGATGGATTTGGCCCCACCTCTCAGGCCCCAGGGGGGCAGGGACCATGAAATTCACAATTTTAATTTCCCTTTACTCATAGATGTTCTATGTTAAAATTGGTTGAAATTGGTTCAGTGGTTGCAGAGAAGTAGCTGAAAATGTTCAAATGTTAACGCACGACGCATGACGACGGACGAAAACAGATACCAATAGGTCACCTGAGTGACTCAGATGACCTAAAAATGATTAGATCTAAACTCTCTATAACGTGCATTTCAGATTTAGCAACAGGGGATGAGCCCTACTGAGTCTGAGAGTATAAATCTTCAAAGATTAAGAAATCTGTGCGAATTCACTTGGATTTTTCAGAAATTACCTTATTCGTCCGAACGAATTTCTAATTTGTCTAGGCATAAAAAATCGTTCTTACAAAGAACTTATTAAAAGAACCAAAATTTTACTTATGCGGAGGAAAATCTTATCCGTGTTTATGAACATACTCGCCCGAACAAATATGTAACTTGTCTGAGGAAATGCCTAATTTCTAATTTGTCCGACCGAAAGCCAAAACAGAACCAAAGCATCTCGTAAAAGTTGATAATTCCTAATTTCGAAAGCTACATTATCGGTGCTTCTATCTTGGTGCTTAGGGCGCGATCTTGGTGTATGGCAGTTAGATCCTCTTTGGTGAGGACACATACATGTTCAGCTGACAGTTCAATACAGAAGATTGATTATGTCACTCTGTTTTTCCGGATGTCAACGTGATCAGACATGAACAGCTGACATGGACAAACAGGTCATGTAATGTTGCCCCGAAGGAAGGGCAAATATCCAATGAACCTCGCGGCGGATCAGGAAGGAGTTTGTTTATGAACTTGTATAAGCGGATCTCATAGCAATTCTTATGTTTGCCAGAAAGAAGGTGGATCATTATCACTGAAGATGATAAATATGGGGATAACGAACAGTATTCAAGTTTAAAAGTCTATTAAACAACACGAATTATAGAGCAGAGCAAACGCGGACCTCCTAATTATCAGAGGTGGGATCAGGTGCCAAGGAGGAGTGAAATCCCCTACCGACCGGTCACACCCGCTTTGTGCTCCTTCTCAAGATTGGGAAATAACGGAAAAATCCGTCGACAATTCAATGTGTAAAATAATGGCTTAAATAAAAATTGTATGAAAAACGTCGGTCAGAATATGACTTAATGATAAATTCTATTTGCTGATAAGGTCATTGTATCGTCCATAGAACTTAAGAAATTACCACTTTATACGAGACTTCTAATATTCTTGTTTCATCAACTTATTTGTCAATATCTTTCTTCATTTTAGATATTGTTCATACGTAGAGCATGCTCTTGCGTATCAAATCAACTGCGAGATACAAACCATGTATGCAGGTGTTGAAGGTATATTGCTGCATAAGTAAGGGAGGGTGGCGAATGAAAAGTTAAAGTCATCACGTTTATCATAAAGCTTGGTTGTTACATAACTGTTAACGACTTTTTCTAGTAAAATATCCAAATATGAAACAGATGTTTCAGACGCTGAGGTATCTTTATTTTATGCTCGCCGGGATATATTGTATCGCCATTAGAATGGAAATAACTATTGTTGTAATTAACAATACATGTACCTCGTCGATATATCTAAATGTCGAGTTGAAGGCCACAATAAGTTTTTTTTCTTCTTTTCACGTATAAGATCTTGAACAAGCTCTGCTTAATATGAATACAAAAATAGGTCTGCTTATAACTGGGCGCAATTGGTACCCTTGGTAATTCAAGTAGATTGTTGAAAGATCTGGTCTTCAAAAACCACATAGGCATTGTCAATCAGAAACTTAAGCATCTTTTTAATATCAACTTTAGAGTACTTGTGTGTCCATTCAGAATGTTTTTAACAATATAAATTTAAAGACTGCAAAAAATTTTAGGAAAACAATGTTACTCGCTATACGACGTTGTCTCAGGTCGTTTTGTTTTTTACTCGTTGTGGATCTCACACTCTTCCTCCAAGATAATTTGGAAGGGAAGAAGTTGTCGGTTATCCACTTCTACAAAAATTGAACAATATCGTATGTACATAGTAAATAATTAACCTGGAACGAATTGTGGCTCATGACTCTTGCTTACATTTACAAAAAAAAGGAAAATAGACGGACTTAAAAAGGTATTTGAAATGCCAGAGTATTGTTGTTTCTAGATGTTCTGTCTAGTGTTCTAAGTTTCTAGCTTGTGTCAATCTGAACTTTGTTGTTAACCAGTTTGTACATGACACTGAGGCTGGCTATCCTTTGCCTCTCTTCTAATGATGGCCACTCCAGCTGATCGAGCATCTCGGTCACAGACGATGTGTTGTGATATCTGTTGTGTACATACCGAGCTGCTCTGCGCTGAATCATTTCAATTTTAATTTTATTTAATTAAATTTTAATATCTGACTTTTGATAAGGATTCCAGGCCGAACTGGCATACTCTACAGTTGGTCTTACTAATGTTTTGTACGCTTTCTCCTTGATGTTGCCATTACTTATATTGATGTTTCTTTTGAGAAAGCCGATGGTACTGTTTGCTTTAGCGGCGATGTTATTTATATGTTGAGTCCACTTCAAATCTGACGAGATGGTAACGCCTAGATATTTTGCAGAAGGAATATGCTCTAATTGGTGGCCATGTAAGATATAGTTCTTCTTGATGACTCTACGATTCCTGGTGATGCTTAGCACGTTACATTTTTCTGGTCGGAACCTCATGAGCCATTTATTTTCCCAGACTGCTAGTTGGTTAAGGTCTTGCTGCAGCTTCTCTGCATCTGGTGTGATGGTCATGTATACTACGGTATCATCAGCGTAGAGTCATACAGTTGATAGAAGGCTCTCTGGCATGTCATTAATATAAAAAAGAAAGAGACTGGGTCCGAAGATCGAACCTTGGGGTACGCCTAGTCTACTGACACCTCTTCAGATGATTCCCCCTCCACGACCACCCTTTGCCTGCGGTTGGTAAGGAAGATTTTGATGCACTGATTGGTCTTTCCATTTATTCCATAATGGTTGAGTTTGTGAATTAGGAGACTATGGCTCACTTTATCAAATGCTTTGGAGAAGTCCATAATAACGCAGTCTGTCTGTTTTCCCTTGTCTATATTGATAGTGATATCATCAATGAACTCTATAAGTTGGGTATCGCATGAAAGACCACGACGGAACCCATGCTGGAATGGGTATATGATGTTGTTAAAATCGGCATGGTTCATGATGTGGCTAGTGACGATGTGCTCCATGATCTTGCTGGAGATGCATGTTAATGACACTGGCCTATAGTTCACTGCCACATATTTCTTTCCTTTTTTGTATATGGGGCAGATGTTGGCTGATTTCCATACTGCTGGTATCTCTCCAGTTTGATAAGAATGATTAGAAATCATAGTAAGTTCTTCAGAACGAAAAACTTAGCTGTCTAAACAAACCTATCCGGTCAAAACAAATTCTGCGTTGCCCAAAAAAAAAATCAAAATGATTCGTCCGAAGAAATGCATTATTTGTCCAGACGTATATCTTATTGGCCCAAACAAATATCTAATCAGGCCCTTCTAATATCTTACAGGTATTCGTCTGCGCAAATAAAATCATTCTTCCGAACAAATATTTTCTTTGTCCGAATAATGTATATATCGTCCAAACAAATATCAAAATCATTCCAAAAATTAATCAACAATTACGAATTAATTAATAGTTGCCTGAATAAATACATAATTCGACCAAACTAATATTTAATTTGTCCTAACAAAGAACTAGTTATTTTTAGTAAAAAAAAAAAAGAAGCTATTTGTTCGATCAATATTAAATTCATCGGATCGATTTTTTTTTATCTGGCCTTCTAACGCCTTCGTACAAACTGAGCCATGAAAGTGATTTCTTCGAACAGTATTTGCTATATCATTCTTTTTTAATATGATGCAAGATAGATAAAAGACTTTCAAATGGGCTTGTGAATATTTGATATGCGCTTTCCATAAATGTGCCAAAAATTGACTTTTCTAAAGAAACCACTTTTCTTTTAATTTTTTTTAATCTTAAAATGCCAATTACCATGAAATTAAATTGAAAGTGATCTGTTCAATCTTTTAATTGTATCACAAGCTGATAACTCAACATATTAATAGAAGAAGAGAAATATCACCTAAGTGTAAAAAAGCTGAATTGTGTGTGTGATAAATTATCTACGGATCAGGCTTAATAGTATATGTGATAAATTATCTACGGATCAGGCTTGTGTGAAATGTGTAACGTGTGTAATTGTGTGTGTTATAATTATCTACGGATCAGTCTATAGTGTGAAATGTTTCGATTCTCGAAATAAAACATTTAAGCAAATGCCAAAAAGTTGTTCCTTTTGAAGAAATGATTATCTAATTTTATATTAACTAAAGTCAATTATTCAAACAAAGGTTCAGTTTATCTATTAGATGAATGTTATATGCATGTGCTAAATGTGTATATTTTAATAGATTCTGCTAACACAGGACGAAAGACCATCTTTAAGGTCAAGATCTAGTAAATGAAAAGTGCCTACAGATTTCTCAAATTTAACAAATGAATTCCTTTAATGATGCTTTATAATTTACGCTTGGTTAAATAAGGTGTTTCGGGGCAAAATTTGTAGATAAATAAGATGAAAAATCGTATTTTAAACTGTCATTTTCAATGAAAAAATAAGAAAACCTGTCATGAATACCGGAGTTTTCTTCCATATAAGACAAAGGAAATGTATTCAGATTGCCTAAAGTCTCTCAGAAAATGGTAATTTGTATGTTCTTGGCCTCTTCTTTAAAATAATATTAAATTTAATATAGGTATCGGGATTACTTTTCACATGATTACAAACTGAATTCCATGAAAATACTTTATTTTCTACATAATCCTCTTAGAGCCGTAAAGTACGGGAAAAAGAAAGTTGAAATTGATTATGACGTCATAATGGACCTAGCACCAAAAAGTTAGTCTAAAGTCATTTACTAGATCTTGACCTTAAGCAATCGCTTAATGGTGGCTTAATGAGGGCTTATAGAAGTTAATTCTTTTAAGCAACCATTAAGCTGCAGCTTCTAGGTGCTTAATGCCTACACTTCATTAAGCTACCATTATGGCACCTTTAAGCTGCATCTTAATGGTGACTTAATGTTTACTACAATATCAGCAGCACCGTTAGCACAGTGGTTAAAACGTTCGCCCTCCAATCTAAAGGTCGTGGGAGCGAATCCTGTTGGGAACGGCTTTTTTTAAATTTATGTATTTTTATTTATTTTTCTTTCTTTTATATTATATTCGCCGAATTAACAATTGTGTAAACTTGACATTTATAATTTTTTGAAGAAATCATTATAAAAATAATATCTAACCCATTAAAGCAGTTTTATCGACTGCGTAATGGTGATTTAATGGTGGCTTAAAGGTAGTTTAATGGTAGCTTAATGGAGTTAAGACATTAAGCACCTATAAGTCTGTCTTAATGGTGGCTTATTGGTGACTTAAAGATTGTCTAGAAGCTACCATTAAGCACAAATAAGTCACCATTAAGCTAACATTAGGCTACCTTTAAGCATCCATTAAGGACTTTGAAAGGCTTAATGGTAACTTAATGGTGGAGTATTCATTACTTAAAGGTAGCTTAAAGGTGCTTAATGGTGACGTAAAGACAAACATTAAGCCATCATTAAGAACCTATAAGCCACCATTAAGCCAAACTTAAAGGACGTGTTTCATCTTGTGTAAGCAATAAATGCTGTGCACGCTTTTCAGCGGAGGAACATGTCAAATGCACCGATATTTATTTTCTAAGTACTCATGAACTATCAAAAAGTACGTAGCCATTGTGTGAAAGAAATTCGAATATCATAGCTTTAAAAGTTGCCTTTTCGTTTAGAATAAAAAAAAATCTCGCGAGAATCCTTCACAATAGTTTAGTCTATAAATGCTTGCACGATTTGGTGTAATGGTTGAATTAAACTGCACCATTTGTTGGCTTATCATAAATTGTGCAGGGACATTACCAAAGTAATGAATAGAACGTGGCTATCTGTTTACGATAATTGAGGTCCCCTTTTCATTTCAAACTAAATAATTTAAATGCTCGTGACATTAATCTTTTGTATAATCGTCATTGTTTAAAACTGGTCAATAAATGCATCAAGTTTTCTACTAATCAATCAATACTGTTTTTATAATAAAGGGGACAATCACCACATACGTTGAATAAATCATTACATTCCTACATTTTTTTTAAAATAAAGCCAGTTCATGATGCCTACAGTTATACATGAGTGGAGTAACGTGATAACAACACAAACTAAATATAATAGGAGAAAGAACCAAGACGTTAATATTTCATTGACTTTTGTCATTTATTAATCAGTTTCTCATATTTTTTTTAAACTGCACAGAAAATTAAAACACGCTTTGGAATAGAAATATAATGATGTTATGAATTATTTCATTTGAGTAAAAAAAAACCTGATTCACTGCTCATTTTTTCACAAACATTATATGATTGTCAGTATAAATTCAATTCATCTGTAAACACACTATTTTAAGGCTAAGTCTATTTCATCTAAGGATACGTTATTTCAAGTTCAAATCTAATTTATCTATAGATATACTATTACTTGATATAGTTCATCTATAGATACACTATATCTTAATCTAATTCCTCTATAGATACACCATATCACCTCTAACTCTATCTCTCCCTTTAATACACCATTCCACCTCTAATTCTATTTCTCCCTTTAATACACCATTCCGTATTTTCACCCTCTGATTCAGTATACATGAATCAAAGGAACTTTCCCCTTCATATAAAGAAATACACGTAAAGTAGATACTCGTTGCAAAGAAACATAAGCACCTGAAGAAGAAAAAAAGGGTTAGAGTTATGTGTTAAACGGTTCAGCGGTCGAGGGGCATTATGAAAACCATCTATCCTTCTTCAGTAATTCAGAAATGATAAAGAAATTAGATAGATAACATGATCAATACTGTCCCAGGTACCAATATAATCTTTGTTTGTAAGACTCATTTTTACAATAATTATTACAATATTACTGCTTAATTATGACATATAAAGGATTTAAATGGCATGAAACATGAACATAACTTTATCTAAAAGTTGCTGAACATATACTGTAACTTGAGAGAATTCAATTTTCTTTCGTTTTTAAGCTTAAATTATAGTGTTTACTCAATCGTACGTTGAAATTGAATTAGAGCAGAGTTTTAAGAATGATTACATTCAATTTTGGCTGAATAAAATATAACGACACAGTATCAATTTATAGGTATAAACATTGTGACATGTTTAATTGGAAACTTTTGTAACCGGTATAAGCGATGTCCCAACTTATTCGATACTTACGAGCATGCTCCGAGTACGATCAATTTAAAAGAAAAGAGGCAAGCTACTTACAGATAAGTTTAAAACAACCTCGTTTAAAGTCAACATTTTGTATATTCTATGGTCGTTATAAAGACTTTGGAAGATTTAGAAAATATAACCTGTCCTTGGGTCATATGTTGGCTGAGGTTTTTCATAGTAATTGTTTTTTTTTTTTTGTTTCTATACTGAATTTGACTACGGAATGTTCCGTCTCTCTGATATACACATGGGCTCACGGCGGGTGTGAACGGTCAACAGGGAATGCTTACTCATCCTTGGCACCTGATCCCACCTCTGGAATTTCCAGGGGTCCGAGTTTTATGCCCTGCTCACAAATGTGACTTCATTATGGATTTTTATTGGATCGATCACTGTTCGTTATCTTCACCTTGTC